CCCAAGTAGCTAAAATAATCTTACTCAAAAACAACAAAGACAGAGGGTCACAATTCCTGGCCTCAAAATACATTATAAAGCTTTTATAATCAAAATGTCATGCTATTGCCTTTCAAACTTTGATGATGAGAACAGTAAGAAGTATTAAATTAAACACAGGTACTTATATTACTTCATTTTTGACAAAGGTCCCAAGAACGCATAACAGGGAAAATATAGTTTTTCTAATCATCAATTGTACTAAGAAAATTATATACCCACATGCAGAAGAATGAAATTGGATTTTATTACATATAACACATAAAAATCATAATGTGAGTTAAACCTCAACATAAGAAACCCTCTCCCTACCGAACCCCCCCCAAAAAAAACACCTACTAGACAAATACAGGAGAAGGAGCCTGAGGCAATAGCTCAGTGGCTAAGGTGCTTAGCTTGCAAAGAATTTGCAAAGGTGCAAAGCTTCCTGAATTTGGTCCTTAGAACCCGTATAGAAAATGCCTGGCAGAGTGGTGCATGGTTGTGATCTAGTGCTGGAAAGGTCGACAGCTCTCTGGATTCAGTGGCCATGCAGTCTAGCCTGCTTGACAAGCGAAAGGCCAGTGTGAGACTCTGTCTCAAGAAAAGGGGGATGGCACCTGACGAAGAACATCTAGAGCTGTCCTCTGGCTTACACAGCCATGCACATATATGTAGAAACCTATGCACATGTACATATATGTATAGAAATAAAACAAGGAGCAGGCTCTGTGACACTGGTCTGGACAATGGTTTCTTAGATGGAAACCAAAACAATAGACTACTAAACAAACAAACAAACAAACTAGACAAACTGAATAATGCCAAACTAAACTTTTCCTGCAAAGCCAAAGAGACAATCAACGGAGTGAAGGGACAAATCTGTGCATTTGAGAAAATATTTTCAAAAGTTACATGCACCAGCAGGCTCATACACAAAACATATAAGGGATCAGACAATCCAACAAGAAAACAGCTCTGACAAAATAGACAGTGGATGGAGACAGACATTTCTCAAAAAAAAGATATACAAATGCCCAACAGATAGATGGAATTATATATATATATATATGTGTGTGTGTGTATATATATATATATATATATATTATACATATAATTTATAGTTCAACAGTCCTCCAGGTGAGAAAAACCTCTTTTTTTTTCTAGGAAAAAAAACCCACACCAAGAAGAAAAAGGTGAGCAAAAGGCTGTGGGATTCCAGGGTTGTCAGCTTGTGTCACAAGGCTAGAGTCCTGTGCTCTGCACCTTTATTTTGGCTTGCAGCCTGTTTGTGATTTTTTAGGAGCCATGTGTTAAAAATGTTTTTTAAAAGTATCATTGTTATTTATTGAATGAAATAAATCTTTTTGTTATGATGTCAACAAAATTAGTTGCACAATCACTATATGCAGAATATTACGAAAGATATTCTAAATTATTTTTAATATTAAATTTACTTTGTGCCATTGAAAGGTAGAAACACTTTATTTAGAAGTATTAGACTATGAAATTTAGCCAGAACATATTCCCAAAGATGGATGGTTTCTCCTCCTCCATCTTTTCCTCCTCCTCCTTCTCCTTCCATTCTTCTCCTCCCTTTCAACCTCCTCCTTCCCACCTCACCCACCATTTCACATAAAATGGTTAATACTCCTGTCTCTGTTCCCTGAATGTGCAGTTCCAGGCATCAGTCACTATCTTGAGCTCTTGGGAGTGAATTTTACCATGAATCTAATGTGGTTTAGGCTTTGGGGACCCTCATCTGTACAGTCTCCTAAAGCCAAAGAGTCATACTTTAGAACCATTTTAGTTACAATAATTCAAACATGTATGAGCGTCAGGATTCTTCAAGCCTGACTTTTTTGGTAGCTATTACAAAATACGGAAGTGTGAAAGTGGTGAACCATAGGAACTCTGGGAATAAAGGACAACCCAGAGCAAGGAAGGAGAACACATGCATCTAAATTTTCCAGAGTGACATCTCAGGCAGCCCTGAAGTTTGGGTTTCCTCAACAGATGGAGAACTGAGTCAGATTCAATTTCTATGGCTCTTTGGAGAACACCTTGAGCAAAGGACAGAGCCACCTGAGCCAAAAGATGGCCCTGCAAGCAAAACAGATGATTATAAAACCACTATCAAATTTCCCCATGGCAGGGCTTGTGTTTTGTTTGTTATCAGGAAAAGTGTCTGGACACACTCAGTCTGTTTCATAAAAGTTCCAGTTCTCAAGGAGCACTTTTATTTTTCCTAGGTGTCATCTCCGCTAAAAAATATATATATTTTTTTCCTCAGGGTTGCTGCTAATACTACCTCTGGGGGATTAACAGACCATTTTCCTCAGTTAATTTAATCTGTCCATAGTCTGCAACAGTAGACTCCCACAGCTCAGGAATTCCACTCTGCAGGAAGAGGGCTGTGCAGTTATAGATTCTGGAATGGAACCCATTAAGGATTTCATTCCTTTGCTAAACTGTCAATGAAAACTGGAAGACACACTGCCTCTATTTTAAACAATCTCTTTCTTTTAAAATCACATTTATTTATTTATTTATCTGTTTGTTTGTTTATTTATTTCTCTGAGGTAAGAGTAGTTATTTATTTATTTACTCATTTATTTACTCATTTATTTATTTATTCATTTATTTATTTATTTATTTATTTATTTATTTATTTGGGGTAAGGGATTTATTTATTTACTTATTTACTTATTTAGGTACATGCACCATGATATATATATGGAAGTCAGAAGAAAACTTGAAGAAAGTTGGTTTTCTCCTTTCACTTGCTGAGTCCTTGGGATTAAACTCAGGCCATCAGGTTTAGAAGCAAGAGCCATGGCCTAGTAATCCCTTTCTTGTACAAACGTATGTGGAACACGGCGATGCTTAGTCACAACTCATTGCTCATTTATGAAATGCTTTGACTGCTTTAGGTCACATGACAAATGACGTGCTATAATCATGCTCGTGCTAGCAGTTCAGGAACTAGGCTTTTGAACTGTGAGTTTCATTGACGAGAACAGCTTTAATATCCATTTTCATTAATATTTCATGTTAAAATGCTTTACATACCTTATATATAACCTGCTAACATTGCAAGAAAACATTCTAAAATTCAAAGAAAAGACATTGAAGCAATAAGTGTTATTTTTATGTTTTTAGTATGTTCTGTCAGTGCCCATTTTTGAATTTGAGATATCGCTTGACGTATGAATAAATATATAAATATTTAAGGATGCCTGAATTTGAAGTGCCTTTTCAAGAAAAGAATATTTTCAGTGGCTCTAAGAGTTAATATTTGTTAAGCTGTAAAGAAAAATAAATAAAACAAACAGTAGCTTGCCAAACTAAGCTTTTTCTTGTTTAATCTTAGGTCTGGAGATTTTTTACAGCTGCTGGTGTTGGTTTGGTGAAGCAGAAGCAAGGTTTTAATGCTTTTTTTCTGTCACAAAATGATTGTTGTTCTAGCCACTAAATCTACCCTCTAGATGGAAAAACAAAGACAAACAAACAAACAAACAAACAAAAAAAAAAACTAAGAGTTAAGAGCACATACCATAAGAAGCACATGTATGCAGAAAGCAAACATTTCCCCAGAAGTGATCAACAGGCTTTCGCCTCGTGTCACTGACACCAGAGAAGACTACTCCTCATGTACAAGAAAACCAAAAGGAACATTTGTTGTATTTGTTGTATTTTATCTGTTATTTCTTACGGAACTAAAAACTGAACCCAAAGCCTTGCAAGTTTTCTACCTGGGAGCTACATCCTTAATCCAGCAAGTATTTTCAAACAGTTATTTATTTTGTAGCCCCTGTGCCAGAGAAAGACAAAGGAACGAGAACTGTAATCAATCAGAGGGCCATCCTACAGTATCTTCCATCATTCCTAAAGGTAAAGTTCTCCAAGAGTGATGAATGTGTATGTTTTAGAGAGTGCGTAGCTCACTTGGTAAAGTGCTTGCCTGGGAAGGAAGAAACCTGGCTAATCTTCCTCCTCCCTCCCCAGAATCTACGGAGGCATGAAAGCAAAAACCAAAGCTTGATTGCACATGCTTGTAATCCCCGTGATGGGAATACAGAGACAGGCGGGTCTGTGAGGCTCCCAGGCCAGTCAGTGAAGCCTAGTCAGCAAGCCCCTGCCGGTAGACACTTCCTTCAAGAACAAGGCTGATGGCGAATATCAGGACAATGAGCAACTAGTAGCAATAGATGTGCAATTATCATAAAAACTGTACTTACTTTCTTCTTTATACAGATCTGACAGGTGAACCACCAGGCTCTTCAATGGTGACTTGCTCCCTGGACTCATGAGCACAGCTGTTTTGAGACATTTCTAGATAGATGTTCTGAGTCACATATGTTAAGTCCCCTCCTATTTCATCAATAAGAGTGGGTCACTTTGCATGCCTACCTTTGGGGAGTAGAATAGAGAAGGATGTGTGTTCCTGCCATAAGAAGGAGTCACAAGGAATAGAAATCCAATAGTTACTCTACTTATTGCTGTAACAAAATAAATAAGAAGCAGTTTAAGACAGGAAATGTTTGTTTTGGCTCACACTTGGAGGATATTGTCCTTCATGGTGGGGACAGCATGGCAGCAGAAGCCAGAGGCAGCTGCTCACACAGCATCTTTGGTCAAGAGAGAAGTTAATGCCGATGTTCTGCTCACTTTCTCCTCTTTATTCACCCTGGAAACCCATAGGATGGTACCACCCGCATTCAGGACAGGTCCTCTCGCCTCGGTAAAGCTCCCTGGAAATGCCCTCATAGACGTACCTAGAGGAATAGTTCCATTTAGTTAACTTGACAGAAATAAAAATATTCCACCCCTTAAAAGTTTTACTTTAATTTCATAATGCAAAATACATCTTTGAAAGTACCCATGGTCCTCAACAATCCCACACTGTTCAAAAAATTCAAAGTCTCTTCTGGAATACAAAGCAATCTTTTTAGTGGGAGCACCTAAAAAGTAAAATCACTGCTTCCCCTGGAGGCAGTGCAGGTGTGGCTGCTGTGTCACACATGCACCAGCAGGTGGCAGAGAGGAACGAGGCAGTGTCCACACTGGGTGTGCTGACCTGTCACATCTGAATGATTAGCAGCTGAACATTCCCTGAAAAGAGAGAACCTGAGATGACCACCAGGCTGGCACCAGGCAGGCCTGAAAGGAGAAGACCATGGTTCTGGTGGGTGTGAGCCCAAGGCGCACAACCCTCTCAGGGTGCCACTTGGGAGAGCTGGGCAAGCAACAAGCCCAAGATGATCACCAGTGGTCACTCTAGGCCCTGGACAGGGAGCTAAGCTGAGATGACCATCAATCTGGCTCAGTGTAGGCTTGGGTGGACAGATCATGCCCAGAGATGACCATAATTCACAAACAGGCCATAGCTCTCCTGAGACCACACCAGAGATGGCCCCAGACACTCAGAGCCCCAGGGGCCACTAAAAGGAGCAAGTAAGTAGTGAAAAAAAAAAAAAAGAAGAAGAAGAAGAAGAGAAGGGAAAACAGAAGGGTGCAGGCACAGCAAAGAGGGGCAGAACTGGAGACTTGAGGGTAGTGAGGAACAGCCTGGTGTGAGTAGCCAGTGATGCCACCTGGGACTATGGTGGGGTCCTGGCCTCTGCTGCCGAGGGGGGGCCACTGCTGGCTTCATGGTCCTGCAGCAGCAGAAGCCTGTTACCACCAAAGACTAGGATGACATCCCTGGTCTGGCCCATCTCCTGGGATCATGTTGCTATCTGAAGGCTGTGTAGAACTTGTCCCACCTCTCATCTGGGCATTGTGGGAGAGCTGGCTCTGGGAGCATGAAAGAAGGAAAGCTGACCCTCTCCCTAACTAGCTGCAGTACTCGGGAAAGCGGCCCTGACACATTGCAGTAGCAGCAGGTGAGCTGACCCCAAGAATAGGAGTGTTCAAGAGCTGGCTTTGCCACTTGTCTTCCATGCAGTGTCATGGATGAGGGAGAGATGCCTTCCCTCTTGCCTCTTGTCACCTACAGTAGGCAGGAGAGCTGGCCCTGAGATCATCATAGTGGGAGAGCTGGCCCTGCCCTTCACCTGCTGCAGCACTCAGGAGAGCAGGCCCTGCACCTCACTGGGGCAGTGCAGTGGAGCTGGCCCTGAATGGGGGTCCAGGTAAGCCAACCCAAGTGTGTGAGCACAGGAGAGCCAGCGCTGCCTCTTGTCTGCCTGACAGAGGCATGGACAAGGAAGAGAAGCTCTCCTCTCTGCCCCCTCATCCCTCACCATCTATGGCAGTTAGGAGAGCTGGCCCTGTGGTCATGAGAGTGGGAGACTGTCCCTGTCCCTCATCAGCTGCAGCACTTGAGAAAGCAGGCACTACACCTTGTAGGGCTGGCCCTGAGTGCAGGGATTGCCAGTGAGCCAGCCCCAAAGGCATGAGAACAGAAGAGACAGAGGCTTGACAGGGCTTTGAATTGTCCCACTCCAACATCTACCCCATACATGAACTGCTGGAGTACATGAAGGGACGTGTCCTACAGATCCAAAACTACAGCATCTCCATGATAAAGGGCAACAATAGGGTATTCAAGGGAGTCCTAATAATGAGGGTCCAGTCTTGACAGAGTAGCAAAAGCCCAAGGCCGTGTACCAGACCAAGGAGGCATTGCAATGACCATTTGCAGCAAAAAGGTATGGACAAAGAGGTGTGCTGTGGGACATACTGTGACACACTATAGCTTCCACAATGAGATTGTTTTTCTCTGTCATAGGGGAGGTTGCAAGGGTGGAGGGTGGGGACAAGAGGACAGGGAGATGACTGGGATTGGAGTGCATGATGTAAAATTCACAAAGAACCAATAAAAAGTTTAAAAAAAACAAATTACATACTTCTAATATACAATAACACAGAAAAAATATTTCCATTCTAACAGGAAAAAATAGAGGAATAGCAAGAAAAACTTGAACAAGAGGAAGACCCATACCCTGCAAGGCAAACACTTAACCCTGTGGCTCCATATCCACCTCTGGAATTTTTGAGAGAATATTCTTGGCTCCAGTTTTAGGAAGCCCTACTCCTCCATGTCTTCTGCTTTCAAACAGGAGACCTTTCTCTTAGACTGGTTCCATTTTATTCCTCCAACTCTCCTTGGCAGATGCTTGACAGTCTCGGCATTTCCAAAACCTTACCATCTTTAAGGCAGCTTGATCTTCATTGCTCCAGCCTTGTGCATTGGTACCTAGTGGCTTCCTTGCAGGAAATCTAATCCTGTGGTGCATTGGCTAGCCACAAACTATTTTCTGGAACCTCGTGGTAAGCTTCCATGACCATGACCCTTCACTCTTGAATATTTTATGCCTGAAAAAACAAATACCACACACACACACACACACACACACACACACACACACACACACACACAAAACAAAACAAAAAAAAACAAACAAACAAACAAAAAAAAACAGACATCTAAGGAATGGTCAGATTGAGAGAAATAGTCTTCATCAAGGAAGAATATAACAATTTGTTATTCAATCACCCAAATGGCCCACCCTGAAAACATATACACAAGCAACATTATATAGTCTGAGCAGGTTACCCTTAGGTTCATGTATGCATATGTATCTGTACACGTAGTTAACTTTGCTAGTTACTGTGACAAAACACCGGACCAGAAGCAACTTAAGGGAAGAAAAGTTTGCTCTGGTTAGCACTGTGTAGTCCATCATGGTAGACATGATATGCCAACAGGAACGTGAAATAGCTGGCCCACATTATACCTACAGGCAACTAAGAACAAATCATGGCACTTGCTTTCTCCTTTATCGTCAGTCATGGATGCCACCACTGTGTAACTGTTGGTGGGGTTTCCTTCTTCAGTTAAACCTTTCTGAAAATACACCAATAGATATGCATATATGGTAATTCTAAATCCATTCAAGATGACAATGAAAATTAACTATCACAATATTATAATCATATTAATTAATGATTTCTTATATAACAGACACTAGGGATGATACTACTATACAGATTATTCTAGTCCATTTTTATAACAACCGTGCAACTTAGGTACTTATAATTGTCACTGCTGAAGAAGACTGAGTAAAGTTAATTACTGCCCAAACCCCACAGCTAATGAATGAATAATGGAGCTTAATTCAGACACAGGCAGCCTGACTCCAGGGCCCCGCTCCTAATCAAGGTGCTGAAGTGGCAACACAGAGTTCTATTGCATAGTTTTGAATGCAGAAGACAGAAGATTTAGTATGGAGAAATAATGAGAGAAACGAAGAAGCTCATAATACTTTAACATAAAGTCAGCAGGTCCTAGGAAGACTCATATTCAGTAATCTTGATTACTTGCCATCTCTTTGTCCTTTGCAATAGCATAGAAAGAGCATCGAAAACACTGTTCCTGGGTAGCAAGGCTGAGAGAACCCATGAGGACAGTTTGAGACAGATTATGTTTATAGAAAGAGAGCAGAGATCAAGACCGACGGGAACAAAGGAATTAACTTGGATGTAGATCTTTGGCCTTTCAGGACATGAACTACTTCTTCACTGGGTAGTATTTGTAGTCTAAACTTCACCTATGCAAAGAAATCTTTAAAGAATCTGTGCTGCAGGGGGAACTTCAGTCTGAAGGTAGTATTACTTTCATGTGTAACCCATCTTCTGACTCACTCAAATGACACCATTTTACTAAACATAAGGTTTAGTAGGAGTTTATCATTCTTATCAATAACAATCGAAGAGAACCATTTTGACATGGTGATATGGTCACCATGATCAACATCTTCACATCAGCTGGTATTTTCTTTATGTGCATAATCTCAGTACAATAAGACCCTGGGGGAGAATGTGCTGCTCCCAACCAGGAGAAAACTGAGGCTAAGAGAGCTCAAGTAACTCACAGTTCCAGGTTGTGATAGTTCCTGAGTCTTTGATTCTACCCTTTCTCTACAACCTAATCAATGGCTCCCTCCCTCCTGTCTTCCCTTTTCCTCTACAGGCTCAGCTTCATGAGCTTCTTTCTCAAGCCCTTTGAATATAAAAGTGTCCTGGATATCTGCAATATGCTTTTTGATCTTATCACATAAAATGTTGGCTATTTCCTTTATCCCCAGATTCTAATATTGGACTCATGATACATCATAAGGGAAAAGTTTGCATTTAATTAAAATTTAAGACGAAGGTCTGGGCAGATGGCTCAGCAGGTAAAGTGCTTGCTATGCAAGCATGAACAAAGACTCCACAAAATTCATACAATGCTAGGCATGGTAGCACCATCAGAACCCCAGTGCTGGAAGGAGGTCTGGCTCAGGGATAGACAGATCCTGAGAGTTCTGAGAGGCCCAGTCAGTCTAGCCAAAACACTCACCGTCAGTAAGCAAATAGGTGGTTCAATGGATCAATAACTGAGCACATTATTAAAGCTGCCATTTCTTTGTGGATGTTAGCCATAACTGCTCACTTATGCTCAGCCTTCATTACTGTGACTTTGTGTTATTGGTAACCAGTAACCAGGTCACATTTCCAGTTTAATTTCAATGTAATTTTCATTTCATAGTAATCAGGTCACACCTGCCATTTAGGAAAAGTTCTATCTGCCCCCTCCAGGTCCTTTCTCTTCCCAATCCAGCCCTGGGTCCAGAGCTATTGTCTGCATGGGCAGGGGTTCCTTGTCTATATGCTCTTGGTGGAGCCTGGACAGCAGAGAAAGAAAGCGTAGGCCATATAGTTTAGAAGCACCACTCTCAGCTCCATTAGTAGACCAACGTGTATGTTCCTCTTCAGCCTGAAGCCTCACAGCCACAGTTAACTTGCCCTCTGGCATCTAAACTTCAGACCCGGAGGTCTCAAGAACTTGGTACTATTGCTGCAAAAATACCAGGAGTTCTTCATCCCTAGGCACTTTTGCCTTAGCTATTGACCTCTTTTATCCTGCCAGCACCTCTTCTAGTCAGCACTCAAGCCTTTTTTGGGCCCAAGAAAGTGCCATCTGTCTTCTTGTCTAAATTGCAGTATAAGCTAGCTTCCACTATAGTAATCTTTATGTCAGGCAACCACGAAACGTGCGCTATGCAGTTGTCATGTGGCTGATTGAATGGCTGTTCCAGGGCACACCAGGAGGCGTCATCAAAG